CCGGCCGCGCGTCGCGCCCTTCGTGCTCGCCATCGCGCTCGCGAACGTCGCGTTCGCGGCCGTGTACCTCGCCGCGACCGCGCGCAACGCCGACGCGCCGGAGCCGGGCCGCGACGCGGAGACGCGCGCCGCCGCCGCGCGCGGCCTCGCCGTCGCGCTCGGCCTGACGGGCTTCCTCGCGTTCTCTCTCGTCGCCGCGGCGCTCGCCATGCAATTCAGCTCGGCCGCCGCCGCGGGAACCGGGCGCGTCGCGCTCGGCGCTCTCGTCGCCGCGATCTTCTGCTGCGTCCTCGCGTTCCTGCGCTCGCGCGCCGACCCGGACCCGGGCGCCAAGGCCTCGGCCCTCGAGGCGCCGCTCCTTTCCGAAGAGCCGCGGGCCTCGGACGCGCCCGACTTTGCGTTCCTCGACGCGATCCGCACGAAGGACTTTTGCATCCTCTTCGTCGCCTTCGTCTGCTCCTCGGGCCCGGGCCTCATCCTCATCAACAACCTGGGCCAGATCGTGCCCGCGGTTCCCAGCCTGCCCGAGGGCACGGAGGACGCGTTCGTGAGTATCCTGAGCGTCTGCAACTGCCTCGGCAGGCTCAGCGCCGGCGCCCTGGGCGACCACTTGCTCGCGGCGCGGGGCGCGCCGCGGCCCGCGACGCTCGCCTTTTTCTGCGCCCTGACGGCGGCGGCCATGGGACTTCTCGCGATCGGCACGCCCGCGTCTTTGTACGGCGCGGTGGTCGTCGGCGGCTACGCCTACGGAGGATTGAACGGCGGCATCGTGCCGTGTTATTCCGAGATATGGGGCTTCGCGTCCTTCGCATCACTTTACAGCGCGGGCTCTCTGGCGGAAGGCGCCGCCTCCTACCTCATGGCCACGCTCCTCTTCGGCTCGCTCTACCAGAGAGAGATCAAAAGCCAGGGCCTCGCGGCGTCGGCGACGTGCGTCGGCCGCGGGTGCTTCCTCAACGCCGCGCTCGTCGCCGCCGCGCTCGCGGCCTTTGCGACGTTGCTCTGCGTCGTGCTCGCCGTCCGGTCCCGCGCGCGCTACGCCGCGCTCTATCCGCAATTCTTCCGCAACTTGAACGGCGCGATCCAGTAAATCCAAGCAAATTAGAGAACAGGCTCTCGCGGAGGGGACGTCCCGTCTTGGGAGGTCCCGGTCGTCACAGAAGGGGGCGGCGCGGGCAAGCGGATATCGGGCACTCGCGCCTCGCGGCGGGGGCGGCGCTCAGGCCGGCCGCGGCGCCTTTGGGTTGCGCTTCAGCCAGCTGCAGGGGTGCGCGCCTTTCTCGTCCAAGTAGAGGAAGTGGCCCCAATGTCCACCGTCGTCAAAGACCGGCTTCTTGTCGGCGAGCTGGGGCGTCGGCGCCCGCGTCACGGAGCATTCGGGGGCCTCGATGTCCGCCGCCGAGTGCTCCGGCGTCGGCGTCGGGATCGGCGGGAGCGGCGGCCCGCGGCGGCGGCCCGCGCCGCGCGGCTCGACGACGATGTCGACGAAGGCGCTCTTCGGGTCCTGGGTCACGACGAGGGGCCGCCGATTGCCCTTGGGCGGGCTCGGCGGCGGCGGCGGCTTCGGCTTGGTCCGCGCGCCCTCGTCGCCGCGCGTGCTCCGCCGTCGGGCGCGGCCGGGGATCGCGCGCGGGCTCTGCAGCGGGTGCCGCGCCGCGGGCGTCTTGGGGTCCGCCCCCGCGGTGATGATCGGCGTCGGCGACGCGCGCGCCCGCGTCTCCCCGCCGGGCTGCTGGCGCACGACCTTGCAATGTTCCGGGTGCGGCCGCACGAGCTCGTCCTCGAAGTGCTTGCTGGCGACAGACACGGGCGAATCGTAGGAGAACGACTCCGAGATCATCTCGGGGTCGTCAAGGACCCGGGCCGCGGGACCCGACCCGGGCGACGAGCGGGTGTCAAAAGCTCCAACTACAGAACACGCGCGGGATCCACAAGTTATTCTTTTGGGGCAGCCCCATTGCAGCTGTCAAGGCTCGACGAACCTCAATGATCAACAAGATGTCAACTCGCCTCAGCAGAGGCAATTGATCGCGATGCGGAGAGCTCTTTGCCATCTCGCGCAGCAGCGCGCGCAAAGCGCGCCGACGCGCGCCGTCACAGCGCCGACGCGACGCCTGTGCACGGCGCCGCCGCGCGCCGTCGAGCACGACGGCACGCTCGCGCAGCGCACGCTCGTGCTGCTGAAGCCCGACGCCGTCGAGCGGCGGCTCGTCGGGCGGCTGCTGCAGCGCTTCGAGGACCGGGGCCTCGCGCTCGTGGGCCTGCGCCAGCGCGTGGCGCCGCGGTCGCTCGCCGAGGCCCACTACGACGAGCATCGCGCGAAGCCCTTCTTCGAGCGCGCGTGCGTCTTCCTCGCGTCGGGCCCCGTCGTCGCGTGCGCGCTCGAGGGCCGCGGCGCGATCGGCGCCGCGCGCGCGCTCGTCGGCCCGACGGACCCCGTCGGCGCGCCGCCGGGCACGATCCGCGGCGACTTCGGGAGCCACTGGCGGCGCAACCTCGTCCACGCGTCCGACTCGGAGGCGTCCGCGGCGCGCGAGCTCGCGCTCTGGTTCCCCGACGGCGGCCTCGTCCCCGCGGCGGCGGCCCTCGAGCCCTGGGTCTACGAGACGCCCGGCGCCGCCATAACCTTCGACTAGGAGGACGCCGCGTTAGAACTGGCCCGTCGCGCGCGCGAACTTGCGGACGTTGTGCCGCTGGTCGCCCGCGGAGCCCTTCATCTGGACGACCGTCGCGCGCGTGCGCTCGGCCTTGCCGAGGAGGCGCACCTGCTTGTCGTGGAGCTTCTTCGCCCGCTCCTGGGACGCGGCCTCGAGGACCTCGGCGGGCGAGAAGGACACGGAGGGCCGGTCCTCGTCGAGGATCGCGAGCTCGGCCTTCGTGGGCTGGTTCTTGAGCATCGCGAGGTGGCCCTTCGACGGCGAGTTCGCCAGGTTCGGCTTCGGCGCGCCCGGGGGGCCCGGCCCGCCGCGCGGCGTCAGCTTCTGGGGCGACGGCGTCTTCGACGCGTGGTCGAACTCCGGGTACACCGAGTTCGCGTGCGTGAGCCGCGCGGCCGACGCCTGCTCCTCGAAGCCGTAGAGGCCCGTGAGCTTGTCCTCGGGGTCGTCCTTCTCCGGCAGCGGCGTGTCCTCGGCGAAGGCCTTGCCGAGCTCCAGCAAGAAGTCGCGCCGGAGCTTCGCGATGCGCTGCAAGTACGCCTCGATCTCGGGGAAGTCCGCGATGGCCGCGAGGAGCGACTTCGCACTCAGGCTGTACATGACCGTCACGGACAGCGTGCGGATCGACGCCGTGCGCTTGCCGTCGAAGAGCACCGCCACCTCGCCGAAGTAGCAGCCGTCCGAGATGACGTGGATCGCGACGTTGCCGCACGCGCGGAGCAGGATCTCCGCCATGCCGTTGGAGATGAAGAACATCTCGTCGCCCGAGTTGCCCTCCTGGACCACGAGGTCCCGCGCGAAGTAGATCGTCGGGCTCATGTCCACGGTCATCGCGCGCGTGAACCGGAGCGGGCTGTTCGCGAGGAGCGGCACGACGGACACGACCGCGCGCGTGTTGTAGGACGCGATCTCCGTGCGCAGCTCCGCGTTCAACGAATCCAGGATCTGGCCCTCGTCGAAGATGCGGCCCTTGGCGTAGCGCAGGTGGTAGAACTCGCGGACGCGCTCCCGGAGGTCGCGCGGGATGTTCTTCGTGATCATGTACTCGTCCGTGTTGTGGACCATCTCCTCGAAGCGCCGCTTGCTCACGTTCATGTCGCCGACGATGCTCGAGATGTTCGAGATCAGCGCCGCGTAGAAGATGGAGCCCACGTAGAGCGACAGCAGGATCGTCCACGTCTCGATCGTGCACCAGCCGTCGGTCTCGACGCAGGTCCCCGACGAGTAGGGCGACTCGTAGGACTCCATGACGATGAGCCCCAGCGCGCGGCAGACGCACCAGGAGTACTGGGAGATGACGGTCTTCAGGTTCGCGCCGTCCTCGTCGACCAAACCCGCGACGACGACCCACGACGACCGGGGGAAGTTCCAGAACCGCGCGAGCGCGTAGGACACGCAGCCCATCCAGTGGGCCAGGACGATGAGGAAGAAGAAGAGCTTGCAGAGCTTGATCCACGCGTCGGAGATGTGGAAGTGGTAGTAGTCCTGGACCTGGTACCAGTAGGGCGCGAGGTGGTCTAAAAGCCGCGCGGTCCGGAAGAGCTTGAAGAGCTTGACCATCTTCAAAATCGACAGGAACGTCTCGCTGTCGCCCATGTCGATCCACTTGAGCACGCTGATCACGGACGCGACGTCGGGCCAGAACCAGCCCGTCAGATAGTTCCGCGCGATCTCCTTCCGGTCCATGTGGAGCACGTCGTTCGCGTCGACGTAGCCCACGTGGAAGTTCTTGACGATGTCGACGACGAAGACGATGTCGCAGTAGGTGTCGAACTGGCGCATGGTCTTGCTGATCACGGGGAACGCGAGCATGAGCGGCAGGAGCGGGAAGAGGACGAGGATTAATAACAAAACCATGATGTCCCAGATCTGCACGAAGGTGTTGTCGGGCATGGCGATGCCGTCGGTCTGGACCATGCGCTTCTTCAGCTTGGCCATGTTGCCCTGGCGCGCCATCGCCTCGGCGCGCTGCTTGAGCACCTCCGCCGCGCGCTCGGACCGCTCCTTCTCCTTCTCCGACATGAGGGCGACGAACTCGTCCATGTCGAGGTTGCCGTCGCCGTCCTTGTCGAACTTGGCCATCATCTCCTTGACGGCCTCGGGCGCCATCTCGCGGCCCAGGAGCTTCATCGCGACGCCGAGCTCCTCGAGGTCGATCTCGCCGCTGTGGTCCGCGTCGATGTTGTTGAAGATCTCGCGGCAGCGCGCGCGGAAGAGCAGCTCCGTCGTCTGGGCCGCCTTGCCCGCCTCGCTCTGGAGCATCATCGTGTGCGTCCGCGGCGCCTTGGCGTCGCGCGCCGTCCGCGGCCGCGCGGGCTCCTTGGACTCGTCGCCGTGCTTCTCCGTGTGCCGCGCGGAGTGGAGCGTCGCGTGGCCGATGGCCGCGTGGGCCGTCTTGACGGAGATCTGCTTGAGCAGGGGCATGCCCTCGGGCCGGTGCTTCGCGCGCAGCTCCTCGGCGATCTTCGCGCGGTCGCCCTGGTCCTTGCGCCACGTCGTCCGCCCGGACGGCGCCGCGCGCGCGTGCTTCTCGGGCGTCAGGACGCCCGCGGCCCGGCCGCCGGCGCGCGCGAGCGCGTCGCTCGCGGAGCTCTCCGTCGACCGCCGCCGGCTCTCCGCGGGCCGGCCGGACGCGGGCACGATGGCCTGGCTCTTCGCGTGGGACCGCGTCGGCGAGTCGTCGGCGGGCGGCGGGCCCGGCGCGATGGCCGCGAGCTGGCGGCCCTCGGAGATGGCGCGCATCGCGCTCGCGGGCGACCGCTCCGCGCCCTCGCCCGCGCCGCTCTCGGCCTCGACGACCGCGAGGTCCCGCGACGGCGCCGACGCCGTGTCCCCCGCGTCTCGGGGCGTCGACGACTTGGACGCGTGGTCGAAGGCGACGACCTCCTCGGACGGCACGCCCTCCTCCTTCCACTCGTCGCTGCCCCGCCGGCCGTCGGCGCCGGGCTCGGTCCGCGACTCGCGCACGGAGCTGAGCGGCGAGGGCCCGCCGTAGGCCGCGACGGCGCCGAGGGGGGGGATGTCGCGCGCGCCGTCGTCGGGCGACGGCGGCGCGCCCGCGCCCGCCTCCGGCGCGTCCAGGAGCGGCGCGAGGCCCCCGGGCCGCGACAGGTCGTAGCGCTCCTCCTCGGGCTCGCCGTAGGTGATGACGCCGTCGCCGTCGATCTCGGCGAGGCGCAGGCTCCGGACGCGCCGCTCCTCGATGCGCGCGAGGAGGCCCTCGAGCTTCTTGAGCACGGGCCGCAGCGCGGCCGAGTCCGCCTCGAGGCTGAGGCCGACGGCGGACTGGTCCACGTTCGGCCCGAGGCCCGCCGTCTCCTCGAGGCACGCGACCATCTCGTCGGCGCAGACGGCCATGAGCGTCGCGTGCGCGCTGAAGCGCCCCTGGATGAAGGCCGGGTCCCGCATGGCGCCGGACACCGGGCGGATATCGATGGCAGCCCCCGCACGTTTCAGTATCTGCGAAATAGCTGCCCCTGTTGACTGGAAACGTTACCTCTGCAACTTGCAGTGCAGGATTACCCCAGAGAGCTGACGGGCCGAGCGCCCACGATGGGCAGCCCGACTGGTGCGTTCTAGCCGCATGGGCGGCGGCGCCTCCTGCGACGCCGGCGCGCCGCGCGACGAAGTCATCGTCGACGGCGACGCGGGCATCCTCGAGCGGGCCGGCGCAGAGCTCCTCGAGCGGCCGGCGCCGGCGCGGGAACTGCGGCGCCTGATCGACGGCGGCGGCCTGTGCGCCGTCGTCGCGCCGAGCGGCAGCGGCAAGTCGACCTTCGTCGCGTCGGCCGTCGCGGCGCTGCGCGCCGAGGGCGCCTTCGACGTCGTCCGCTGCGTCTTCGTCGGCGCGGCGGCGGGGTCGACGTCGCTGCCGCGCGCGCTCGGCGCGCTCTGCGCGGCGCTCCGGCGCGACCTCGACGCGCGGGGCCTGGCGCCGCCGGCGGCGACGATCCCGGACGACGCCCTGGGCCTCGGCGGCTGGTTCGCCGCGGCCCTCGAGGCCCTCGCGGGCGACGGCGCCAAGGTGCTCGTCGTCCTCGACGCGCTCAACGAGCTCGACGGCGAGGCGGCGCGCGCCCTCGGCTGGATCCCCGCCGGCGGGCCGGCGACGATCCTGGCGACGTGCATCGAGGGCGGCGCCAACGGCGGGGACGCGCGCGTCGTCGAGACGCTGCGGGCGCTCCGGGCGCGCTTCGACGTCGCCGGCCGGACGCTCGCGCTGCCGCCCCTCGACGCCGGCGAGCAGGCGGCGCTCCTCGCGCTCGGCGGGTCGATGGCGGCGCTGCGGAAGCTCGAGGGCAAGGCGGACCGGTCGAGCCCGCTCTACCTCCGGCTCGTCGGCTACGTCGCGGGCGACTGGCCCGGCACCGTCGCGGGCGCCTACGACGCGCTGCTCGCGGCCCTGCCCGACGACGCCGCGGCGAAGCTGCTCCTCTGTTCCATCTGGGTCTCGGGCGGCGCCCTGTTCCCCGCGGAGCTCGTCGACGTCGTCGGCGAGAAGCCCGCGAAGGCGCTCGCGGCCGCGCTCCGCGGCGCCGCGCTCCGCGAGGCGGCGCCCGTCGTGCGCTTCGTCCACCAGCAGGCGCGCGACGCCGTCGAGCGGCGCTGGCTCGGGAAGAAGGGCGCGAAGCGCGACGCGCACGCCGTGCTCTTCCGCTACTTCGCCGCGCGCTACGACGGCGGCGACGCGGGCGCGCAGGTCCTCTCGCGGCTGCCGGCGCACGCCGTCGGCGCCGGCGACGCCGCCGCCGCGAAGAGGTACCTCTGCGCCGTGGCCTACGGCGAGCGCAAGTGCGCGGCGGGCCTCGCCGGCGACCTCGCGCGCGACTACGAGGCCGCGGCGCGCGCGTTTCCAAAGGAGCGCGCGTTCCGCGACTTCGCGGAGACGGCGCGGGCCAACGCGCACGTCCTGGGCCCGGACCGCTGGGTCGCGGGCCTCTGGGCGCAGCAGGCGCGGAACGCGCGACGCACGTCCGAGGTGCGCGCCGCCGCGCCCGACGCCGGCGGCCTCTTCCTCTGGCGGAACGGCGACGAGAAGCCGCCGCCCTGCGTCGCGACGTTCGCGAACCCCGCGTGCGACTTCTGGGCCGCGTCCGCGTCCCGGAGCGGGACGCGCGTCGCCTGCGGCGGCTCGGACCGCAAGGTCCACGTCCTCGACGGCGACGGCAACGAGCGCGCGCTGCTCGCGGGCCACGGCGACGACGTCTCGCTCGTCGCGTTCTCGCCGTCGCGCGAGCACCACCTCCTGAGCGTCGCGCGCCGGGGCGACGGCGGCTCCGACGCGTTCCTCTTCGACGTGGACACGGCCGAGAAGCTCGCGGCCTACGACGTGCCCGAGGGCTTCGTGTGCGACGCGCGCTGGGCGCCCGACGGCGAAAGGTTCGCGCTCGCGCTCGGCGCCGCGTCCGTCGTCTTCGCGGGCGACGGGTCGTCGAACGCGCGCCTGGCGACCGTCGACGGCGGCGCGGCCGCCGTCTGCTTCTCCGCGGACGGCGCGTCGCTGCTGGCCGCGCGGGGGACGGCGCTCGCGGCGTGTCCGATCGGCGCGTCGGCGGCGCCGTCGGCCTTCGCCGCGGCCCACGACGAGAAGATCAACGCCGTCGACGCCGTCGAGGCCTGCGTCGCGACGGCCGGCGACGACGGCAGGGTCGCGCTCTACGACGCGACGACGGGGACCGTCGCCCGCGTCGTCGCGGCGCACGGCGACGTCGCCAAGGTCGTGCGGCTCTTTCGCTTCCAGGACGAGCTCTGGGCGCTGTCGGGCTCCGAGGACCGGACCGCGCGGTTGATCTGCGCGAAGACGGGCGCGTCGCACGCGCTCCGGGGCCACAGCGCGGCCGTGTCCGCCGTCGCGCCCTTCGGCGGCTTTTGCGCGACGGCGGGCGACGACGGCACGTGCCGCGTCTGGGACCTGCGCTTGGTCCAGACGCAGGACGCGATCCCCGGCAGCGACCGCGCCATCTCGGGCGTCGTCTGCCGCCCGGACGGGTCGCTCGTCGTCGCCGACGTCGGCGGCGTCGTCCGCGCGTTCGACGCGACGGGCGAGGCGGTCCTGTGGACGGCGCCGAAGCTGGAGAGCGGCGGCCACGACGCGATCACGAGCCTCGCCCTCGACGCCGACGGCGCGCGCGTCGCCTGCGGCGCCTACCGGCGGCTCCACGTGCTCGACGCGACCACCGGCGCGTCCCTGGCCGCGCTGCCGTTCGGCGACTGGGTGAACGCGTGCGCCTGGGGCGCCAAGGATCTCGTGATCTTCGCGGGCGACGCGGCGGCGGTCGTCGTCATGGATCTGGCCGGGCCGGCGCCGGCGGTGCTGACGACGCTCGACCACGACCGCGCGGCGAAGACCGACAGCGTGCTCGCGGTCGCGACGGCCGCGGACGTCGTCGCGACGGGCGACAACGACTGCCGCGTGCGCGTCTGGACGGGTTTGGACAGCGCGACGCACGTCGCGTCGGAGGATTTGGGCGGCTGGGTCACGTCGCTCGCGCTGTCGCCGAACGGGAGCGACGTCCTCGCGGCGACGTTCGGCCGCGACGCCGCGCTCCACCTCCTCTCGCGGCGCGAGGGCCGCCTGGAGATGATGGCGCGCGGCGCCCTGGGCTCGCCCATCGCCTGGTGCGCCGTCCTCGCGGGCGACCTCTTCGTCACCGCGTCCGAGAGCAAGCTGCTCCACGCGTGGCGGCCGCGGCCGAACCGCGCGCTCAACCGCGGCCGGCCCAAGGAGCTCCTCGAGGTCGTCGCGCTCTTCCCCGCCGCCGCGCGCTTCGGGTCGCCCGACGGCGTCGGCGGCCAGGGCGCGGTCCACGCGGACACGGCGACGCTCGCCGTCGGCGACGAGGCCGGGCGGCTCTACGTCCTCGACCTCGACGTCGACGGCCACTTCAAGACGGTCTGCCCGCCGTCGCCCGGCGGCTCCCCGAAGCGGATCTATCCACAATAAGAATTCACAGGTCTGCCCGCGTCTGCCCGCGTCGGATCTATCCACCATAGGTTTAGGAATCCACAGGCCTCCCCGCGTCCGACCGAAGCGGATCTATCCACAATAGATTTAACACAGGCCTCCCCGCGTCCGACCTGCGCGGGGCGCGGCGGTCGACGACGCCGCGCGGAAGGGAAGCACGCGCGCGCGCTCGGGGAGTGGAACCGTCCGGGGCCCGCTCTGTAAGCGAGCGCGCCCACCTTCTCGCACGTAAGTTCAGCACGAGGGGGCCTCGACCCGGGGTCGCCCCCGGACCCCCTTCGAATTCGGCCTTTTGAGTGTCGTCACGCGGCTCCGACTTCCACGGGAAAACCACGGGGACGCCGCGTCGCGCCGGATCAGTAGCCCATGGCGTAGCCGTCCGTCGCCTGGCGCAGGATGCGCTTCTCCTCCTGGACGTAGTCGTTGTCGCCGCGCGCCGCGCGCGACCGCTTCTCCTTGCTGTTGAAGGTCACGGGCTTGCCCTTGCGGTCCTTCTGGCCGGGGGCGATGGACCGCTTGTCGACGCCGGGCGCGGGCTTCGGCTTCTGGTGGCGGCCGGGGTAGTCGCGCGCGAGCTCGGCCTGGATGCGCGCGACCTCGCCCGCGGCGTCCGCGGCCGCGAGCTCGGCCTCGGGCGTCGGCTCCGGCGGCGCGTCCGCCTCCGCGGGCGGCGGGGGCGCCGTCTCTTTGTAGTCGCGCTCGAGGCTGTGCGCCGACACGTGCTGCGCGGCGATGGCCTCCTCGAGCTTGCGCTTCCTGCTCTTCACGGGCGCGTCCTCCGCCGGCGGCGCGAAGAAGTCGTCCTCCTCGTCGTCGTCGTAGCCGTCGTCGTAGCCGTCGTCCGCTTCGAGAGGCGGGAGCTCAGGAGCTGCGGCGTCATCGGCGGGTGGGAGCTCGGCGGCGCTCTCCGACTCGGCCAGCGCGGCGGCGCCCTCGGCTGGTGGGAGCTCGGCGGCTCTCTCCGCCTTGGCCATCGTGCTCTCTGGCTTCACCACATCTTCACCATCAACCCGGCCAGCCGGGGAGCCGGGTCCCGCCTCGCAGTGGCGGTTTTTGCGATGGCCCGTGCGCGCGAACGCGGCCGTCCCTATTTGGGAAACTTTGCAGGCCGCGAGAGGACCCTACTGAGAGTGCGTGTGCAGCGTATCGAGGCGCGGGAACCCGAACGCGTCGCGAAACCAGCCCGTGCGCTCCGCAGTGCAAACCAGTGGAGGTCGGTCGACGGGACCGCCTTCCGCGCCGCGCGCGACTACGGCGGCTGCTGCGAGCGCTTCGGAGGGTCCACGAAGGTACTGCGGACGGGGCGCGACGTCGAACATCGTCCCGACGCACGTATTTCGACCGCGGACTGGCGCTCAAAGCGCGCAGCGAGACGCTGGCGGGCGAGTTCGCATCGATGACGGCGGTTCCAACGATCTCTGGCTGCTGCGGAGGCCGCCCTTGACTACCACAACACCTGCGACGCGAAGCGCACGACCCTGGGACCCGTCGACGTCCCGCGACACGCCGACGGTTTCGGGGTCGTTTTCGGTGCCCGAGACGCGTTTTTTTCGCCGACGAGAAAACGCTGCCGTCGCGCGGTCTTTTTGGCCAGACCGTCGCGTATGGTCATGGCGACGTGCGCGCGGCCCTTTAGAGCGCCGAAAATGACTCGTATGTCGTCGCGTAAGGGTCGGTTTTGGGCTGGATTTCCTCTAGGGATCGGACGAACGCCATCCGATCGCTGCAACACCCTCACCGTTGGGCGTGAGAGTTTGCTGGGGCCTTCCTTAGACGTACCCGCCGGTACTGACCGTTTTTCCGAAATAGGGACGACCGCGTTCGCGCGCACGGGCCGACGCCGGGAGGCGGGACCCCGGATGCCGGGGTCAAGGCATGAGCTGAAAGTCCTGCTCGGCCCGATGCCGTGGGAGTGCGGCGCATGTACGATGATCAATGAAAACGACGCTTTCTTAGCGTGCGCCACCTGCGGCACGCAACGCGCCACGCAGAAGCGCACGCTTGAAGAGGAGGACGGCGCCGCAGCCAAGCGCACCTGCATCGACCTCCGCGGCTCGGACGACGACGACGAGGTCGCGTGCCTCGGGTCGCAGGGCGGCGCGACGCCCGCGGCGTCGGCCGCGTCGGCCGCGCCGGCGGCCTACGCGTGGCGGCCGCTCTACTGCACGTCGCTCGGCGCGGCGTCGCCGGGCAACCGCGGCGCCGTCTCCATCGCCGACGTCGCCATGGGCCGCCCCAAGTTCGTCGTGATCAGCAACTACATGATCTCCGGCGGCTGGCTCGCGCGTGCGTGGCCCGCGCTCCGCGACGTCGAGCGCGTCGTCGTCTTCCACGGCGAGGCGCGCACGGCCCGCGACCTCCAGGGCCTGTTTCCGCGCGCGGAGATCCACGACATGACGCCCAAGAAGCTCGAGTTCCTCCACGCGGGCACGGGGCGCCCCTTCAAGAACGACTGGGGCTGCCACCACAGCAAGTTCTTCCTCGTGGGCCTCGAGGACTCGCTCCGCGTGGCCGTGCACACCGCGAACCTCATCCCGACGGACTGGGACCACAAGTCCCAGGGCATCTGGATGCAGGAGTTCCCGCCCAAGGCGCCCGCGGCGGCCGGCGCCTGCGACTTCGAGGACGCGCTCTGCCGCTACGTCGACACGCTCCAGGTCCACGCGGGCGGCGCGGCGCGGAATTGGCGCGGCTTCGGCCGTGCCTTCGACGACGCCCCCGTCATGGACCTCGCCGCCGCTCTTCGCCGCTTCGACTTCTCGGGCGCGCGCGGGCGCCTCGTGACGTCGGCGCCGGGCTACCACATGGGCGCCGATCTGCACGCGTTCGGCATGAACCGCGTCGCGCAGGTCCTCGCGGAGGCGCCCGCGCGCGGCCGCGAGGGCGACGAGATCGTATGCAACTTCTCCTCGTTTTCGAAGCCGTCGCAGAAGCTCCTCGACTCGCTCGGCGACAGCTTCGCCGCGGACCGCGCGCCGCGCGCGCCGCTGCGCCTCGTCTGGCCGACGTCGGACGAGGTCCGGCGAAGCAGCGAGGGCTACGCGGCCGGCGGCTGCATGCCGTCCTACGCGAAGAACGTGGACCTCGCGCCGCGCGCCGCGCTCCGCAAGTGGGTCTCCGGCGCGGGCGACGACTACGTGCGCGCGCGGCGGACGGCGATGCCGCACGTGAAGACGTGGTCGAGGATCTCGGCCGACGGCGCCGACGTGCGCTGGTCCTTCCTCACGTCCTCGAACCTCTCGGGCGGCGCCCACGGCGCGCGGCAGAAGAACGACTCCCAGCTCTTCGTGATGCACTGGGAGATGGGGATTCTGTACGTGGGAGACTCGAAGACGACGGCCTCCGCCGCGGCCGGCGACGTCGTCGTGCCGCTCCACTTCGCCTGCCCGCCCGCGCCCTACGCGGCCGGCGACCTGCCCTTCAAGTGGGACGTCAACTTCGAGACCCCCGACCGCTTCGGCCGCCACGGCACGCACTAGGTGGTTTTAATCGAGGCAGCGGTCGCTCGCGCCCTGGAGGAAGTCGGCGACGGCGAGCTCGATCGCGCGGCGCGCGTCCGCGTCCGGGACGTGGCTCGGCAGGACCGCGTGGAGGTAGCGCGCGTCGCGCTCGAGCTGGGCGTACTGGGGCCGCGAGAGCGTCGCGTCGCGGACGGCGTCGAGGAGCGCGCGCGCGAGGCGCCGGAGCAGCGCCGCGCGGACGCCCGCCGGCGACGCGGGGTCGTCGGCCGCGGCCGCGGCCCTGGGCGCGGCCTTGGACGTGAAGAGGCGCTCGACGTCGAGCTCGATGCCGCCGCCGCGCTTGCCCGCCTGCGTCGGCGCCCGGGGCGCGGCCATGCGCGTCGTCGCCGCCGCCGCCGCGGCCGCGGCGTCGTCGTCGGCCGCGTCCGCGTCGTCGAGCGGCGCGTCGCCCGGGTTCCGCGCCGCGGCGCGCACGCGGCGGCCCGCGGCGGCGACGAGCGCGACGCAGGCCGCGACGGCGTCCGTGTGGCGGGGCGCCGCGGTCGCGGCGGCCGCGGCGACGGCCGCGGCGAGCGCGTCGCCGTCGAGCGCGTCGAGGACGCGGCGCGACACGTCGCCGTGGACGAGGTCGACGTGCGCCGCCAGGAGCGCCGCCGCTAGCTCGCCGTAGCCGGGGCTCGCGTCGCCGAGCAGGCGGCAGAGCGCCGCGAGCGCGACGGCGCCGTCCTTCGCGGCGTCCGCGCCCGCGGGCGGCTCCGGCGGCTCCGCGCCCGCGGACGCCGCGAGGCCCGCGAAGGGCCGCGGCGCGTCGCGGATCTCCGGCCGGCCCGCCGGCGGGTCGCCGTCGCCGGCGACGGCCGACGGCGCGGGCCCCGCGGCGACGCCGCCGAGCGACTCGACCGCGTCGCGGACCCACGCGTAGTAGCGCCGCTCCCGGTCCTCCGCGGCGTCGCCCGCGCCCAGGAACGGCGCGAGGGGCGCGGCGAGCGCCAACGCCTCCGCGACGGCGCCCCGCACGAGCTCCGCGGCCTTCTTGGGCTCCGCGTCGAGCGCGGCCGATTCGCCGCGGCACACCGCGCCGGGCAGGCGCGCGACGGCGTCCGCGGCCGCCCGGCGCGCGCCGGCGAAGGCGCCGTCGGCCGCCGCCGCCGCGGCCCGCGCGGCGACGGCGGCGACGCGCGCGCCGAGGCCGTCGTCGCCGGCCCCGCGGCTCGCGCCGTCGACGGCCGCGGCGAGCGCGGCCGCGAGCGCGGCCGCGGCCTCGGCCGTCGGCGGGCCGTGGCCCTCGGCCGCCGCGAGGACGCGCTCGAGGCGCAGCACGTACTTGGCGACGAGGTCGGCCCGCGACTGGTCCAGGCTCGGCCGCGGCGTCTCCGGCGCGACGCCCGCGAGCCGCGCGTCCGTCAGCTCCGCGACCTTGGCCAGCTGGGCCGCGCCGGCGCCGTAGGGCCCGACGAAGGCCGCCGTGAGCGCCGCGACGCGGCCCTCGAGCGTCGCCGCGCCGTCGAGCGCCGCGCCGTCGACGGCCGCGGCGACGTGGCGGTCGACGCACGCGAACGCGGCGGCCTCGGATGCCGCCGCGTCCGCGCCGAGGTCGCCGAGCAGGACGACGCGCGCGAGCACGCCGCCCTCCGCGGCCGCGAGCGACGGCGCGCCCGCCGCCGGCGGCCGCGCGAGCTCCTCGAGGAGCGCGTCCCTCAGACCGGCGACGATCGCGGCGGACTCCGCGTGGATGTCCGCGAGCGACGGCACGTGCGCGTACTTGCGCAGGACGCCGTCGACGGCCTGGAACGACGTGACGGCCTCGCCGTGCCGCCCGTCGGCGATGGCCGCCGCCAGCTTCTTCGGCAGTTCGAAGAGGAACTCGAGGCGCTTGAGAAGCCGCCGCGCGCGGACGAGCTTGTCGATCTGCGACCGCTTGTCCGCGAGCGACGCGTTCACCTTGGCCGACGTCGCGTCGATGTCGGCCATGGCCGCGCTCAGCGACGTCATCTCGCCCTCCATGCCGCCGACGTTGTCCTTCATGTCGCGGATCGTGTCCGTCGCGCCGATGAACTTGCTGTAGTTCTCGTAGACGAGCATCTGCATGTCGCCGCTCAGCGACTTGACCTCGCGGCAGAGCGCGTCGTCGCGCTCCAGGAGCTTGGGCAGCGGCTCCGTCTTGAGCAACCCGCGCACGTGCGCGTCGGCGTCGAAGTCCTCGCGGTCGATGGGGTCCAAAGCCTCGTCCTCCTCCTCCTCGGGCGGCGCGACGTCGCTCGCCATCTTCCCGTAGAAGCTGCTGAGCAGGTCCCGCGACCGCCCGCCGACGGCCTCCTCGTCCTCGAGCGACGCGTCGTCGCTGTCCGAGTCCATCGTCGCGTGGCTCGCGAGGAAGGCCACGACCCCGGACGAGCCGGGCCGCCGCGATGGACTTTTCGTAGGAGAGCTCGACGGCACGAGCGGAGCCCCCGAACTCGTCGGTGGTCTCGCCGTCGACGACGCGCGCGACCGTGCGGGTGGCGGCGCGAGCGCTTGCCACAGCGGATGCCGCCGACGATGCGGCGACGATGAAGCGTCGCGTGACTCGACGATGGGCGAGGTGCCGGTGTAGTTTGCAACGCACGGGCTAGTAGCAAGGAAAATGTCGAACGACTGGGCCACCAAAGAGTGGCGGCCGTGCTACCTGCGCTTCATAAGGGACTTTCTCGAGCATCAGGGCGCCGACGAGCTGCCGTCCGAGCGCCGGCCGCTGCCGGAGGTGCCGCGCGGCAGCGGCTACGGGAGCGCGCGGGAGGCCTTTGACATCCTGCAGCCGCACGTCCTCGAGGAGGCGCTCGCGGGGCTCCGCGAGGAGCGGCAGCGCGCCGCGCGGCCCGTCGCGGCGTCGCGCCGCTGCGTCGCGACGTCCCCTACTACGCGCGACGCGCTGCTGTTCTTCAGCGTGAGCGAAGCGAAGGGCGGCGATCGGCGGCGCCACGGCGGCGGCAGCGCGCCGGGCGACTGGGGCGAGGGCACGGTCGTCGCCGCGCGCGACGGCAAGGCGCGGTACTTTGGCTTCGTCGTCCACGAGACCGACGCGCGCGGCGGGAAGCGGGGCGCCAAGAGCGCGGCGCGCGTCGCCTTCCTCGCCAAGGACGGACCGCGCGCCGGCGACTTCGACTTCGCCGTCGTCGGCGACGCGCTCACCGCGGTCCGCGAGTACCGGGCGCTGGCGGCGCTCGAGGGCCTGCCGTCGCGGCTCCGGGACCCGCTCCTCGCCAAGAAGGTGGCGCCATCGGCGGCGCCGCCGCCGGCGCGGGCGCCCGCCGCCCTCTGGGCCGAGCTCGAGCACGGGCACAACGATTCGCAGTTCCAGGCCATCGCCGCCGCGGCGACGGCCGAACCCTACGCGCTCGTCCAGGGCCCGCCGGGCACGGGCAAGACCAAGACCATCGGCGGCATGGTCTCGGCGCTGCTCTTCGGCGACGACGCCGTCGCCCCGGCGCGGCCCGCGCGCGGCGGCATGCTGCCCGGCCGCGGCCGGGGCGGCGGCACGAGGATCGCCGTCGGCGGCTCGCTCAGCGGCCGCGGCCGCGGCGCGGTCCGCGCGGCCAAGCCGCCGAGCCGCCGGCTCCTCATCGCCGCGCCGTCGAACGCGGCCGTCGACGAGGTCGCGCTCCGGCTGCACACGGACGGCGTGCTCGGGCCCGACGGCCAACGGCGCGATATCAGGATCTGCCGCGTCGGCGTCGTCGGCGGCCAGCGCCGCGACGACAAGGTCGCGGCCGACGGGCTCGAGGTGCTGGAGCCGTTCACGCTCGACCGGCTCGCGGAGGCGGCGGCCGAGGGCGAGAAGAAGAAGGGGCTCGGCGAGCGGCGCGCGGCCGCGCTCGCGCGGTGCGACGTCGTCCTCGCGACGCTGAGCGGCTGCGGCTGCGCGGCGCTCGTCGACGCCGCGGAGCGCCTGGCCCCGTCGGCGCTCTTCGACGCCCTCATCGTCGACGAGGCGGCGCAGGCCGTCGAGACGTCGACGCTGATCCCGCTCAAGTACGGCCCGAGGCGCGTCGTCCTCGTCGGCGACCCGGACCAGCTCTCGGCGACGCTGCTGTCGCCGAAGACGCGGGACCGGGGCTTCGGCCAGTCGCTCTTCGAGCGGCTCTGGCGCGGCGGTCGGCGCGCGGACATGCTGCAGACGCAGTACCGCATGCACCGCGACCTCTGCGCCGTCGTGAGCGACGTCTTCTACCACGGGCGCCTGCGCTCGGCGGACGTCGTGACACCCGAGAGCCACGCGCTCCCGCCGGCGCTCGTCGCGGCGAACCCCTGGTTCGGCGACCACCTGGCCTTCCACGACGTCGCCTACGGCACGGTCGTCTCGCGCGCCGCGTCCTACGCGAACGGCGCCGAGGTCGAGTTCGTCGCGCGGATCCTGGAGGTCGTGCTGGCCAGAGCGCCGGAGCTGCACGTCGCGGTCATCGCGGCCTACAAGGCGCAGACGCACGCGCTCCGCGACAGGCTCGGGGCGCTCCCGGGGCCTTTGCGCGCCGCGGCGGCCAAGGTCGAGGTCGCGACGGTCGACGCGTTCCAGGGGCGCGAGAAGGACCTCGTGCTCGTGTCCTGCGTCCGCGCGCCCGCCTGCGGGAAGAAGGACCGGCCCCAGACCATCGGCTTCCTCAAGGACCGGAACCGGCTCAACGTGCTCCTCAGCCGCGCGCGCCTCGGCTGCTGGGTCGTCGGCCACGGCGCGACGCTCAAACAGAACGGCGACTGGAAGGACGTCCTCAACGCCGCGCAGCGGCTCGGCGCCTACCACGCGCACCGGTCCCTGCCCGGGGAGTTCGCGACCGCGGGCGGCCGCGACTCGGGCGGCGGCGAGCGGAGCTCCAAGCACGGCGGCAAGCGGTCCCGGTCCCGGTCCCGGTCGCCGAGGGCGGACGACAAACTCGACCGGCCCCTGTCCGCGCGCCGCGGCTCCGCGCCGCCGCCGCCGCCGCCGACGACGACGACGACGCCCTGCCGGAACGCGCGGAACGCGCTCCCGGAGTCCGTCGTCGCGAACGTCGCGCCGCCGAAGCGGCCGCGCGCGGACTCGCTCACGTGCAAGCCCAAGCGGCGGAACGGCAAGGCCGTCGACGAGGACGCCGACGTCCTAGCTAATGCTTAGGTCGGAAGAGCGCCCCGAAGGGGAAGGACGCGACGATCCTGCGGAGGTCCTGGTTGACGCGGTCCACGCGCGCGAGCTCCATCTGGACCGCGCGGACCCGCCGCGCGGACTCGTGCTCCATCTGGTTGAGCCAGCTCCAGGTGCTCGCGATGCCGAAGCAGGCGAAGCAGATCATGCGCCGCCGGTCCGCGCGGAGCGCCTGGTTCACGCACGCGCCGATGAGCGTGACGATCTGGCCCCGGAGCGACTCGCAGCGCATGACCGCGTCGAGGTCCCGGGGCGCCTCCGCCGGCGTCGGCGACACGAGCTCCGAGCGGCCGAGGTCCGAGCGGCAGATCGGGCACCGCGCGGAGGTGTTGTGTCCGTAGTGCTCCGCGAGGCAGCCCATGTGGAACGCGTGCGAGCAGTGCGTGACGACGACGGCGCGCCGCCCGGGCTTCGAGGCCGGCGACAGGTCGCAGTCCTGGAGGCAGATGGGGCACCGGGCCGAGGCGCCCTCCTCCATGAGGCTTTTGTGTTTGCGGTGCGGCGGCGCAGCGGTCGGCGCGATGGAGGCGCAGCGGTCGGCGCGATGGAGGCGCAGCGATCGGCGCGATGGATGGTTCGGCGGCGCAGCGGTCGGCGCACGGGGGTGTTGCGCGCGGCGTTCGGCGTCGCGAAGCGTCGTGCCTGGGCCTTGTCCGCTCGAGTGGAGCTCACCGCGGCCCGTTGGCGAGTCCGTTTCGGCCTCCTACTTGACTAGGCCTCCTCAAGTGCCTCCTCCTCGGCGCCTAGCCCCGCGCTCCCGACGGACACGAATCGCCCGTCGAGGACACATACGGCGCCGGCGGAAGCCGAATTCCGAGCCTCTAGTAGTCGCCCCCGACCGTCGCCGTCGCCGGGCCCGCGACGACGCCGACCGCCGCGGCGGCCCCGACCCGGCGGTGCAAGTCCGCGTGCTTCTTCCTCTCGAGGCCGGGGCGCCTGCCGCCGACGACGATGATTTTGTCGCCGGGCTTGGGCACGCAGGCGAGGGCCTGCGTCTCCGTCGGCGGCTTCTTGCCCCGCGGCGCCGCGGCGCCGCCCTTCTTCGCGACGACGCACGTCGCGAAGATCGCGTCCGTCTGCGCGGGAGCGGGGCGCGTCGGCGCGCGCGGGGATGGAGGACGGGAGACGGCACCTGGATGCATATGGACCGCTGGAAAGGCAGCGACTTGAAGGGGCAGACGTGGTTCGTCTTGATCTTCCCGCAGGCGCCGCAGTGGTACTTGCCGCGGTTGTCCTGCTGCGCCTCGGCGTCGGAGTCGGCGCTGTCCCGCGGCGGCGCCAGGGGTGCGGCGCGGCGCCCGCGAGGCGGGCGCGGCCGGCCGCGGCCGCGCGCGCCA